CATCCATGAAACACCGGAGCACCGAAAATTTATTCAAAAACTGCAACCTATCAAAGCTGTATTAAAAGGTATATATGGGCATCATGGAGCACTTTTCTAGATGCTTTATCTGACCACATATCCATGTTGTTGGCCAACATTGCAAGCCACCTTCCGTAACGGAGCACTGAAGTTTCTTCACAATTGCTCCTCAGCGGGGGGCGGGGGGATGTAACACATTGTTTTGACAATGATCATCGCCAAAGTGCCAGTATTGGTAGTAAGAATTGCAGAATGGTTGTAGAATTCGAATTAGGGGTCAGATTTGGAAGGTCAGACTGCGGAAGAGAGAACACTCCACGGAGATCTAAGAATGCCTTCTGTGAGCTCCTGTTTCGCCCCTGCGTTGTTTAACTTTGAAATATCATACGGCATCCTTGTTTATAGGATAGACTGTTGCTCGAGAATTCTGGTCCACAAATCGTGGATAGACTGTTCCGATTATCGAAATTTGAAGGGATTGTGTCAAGAGGGGGTTGTATTGGGGTGAACCACATGCACATGTCAGTGTTTTTAATCCCTCACGTCTTTAATCTCCCGATTTCTGGCAAGCAAACGACTGGTTGTGGAGGAGCCAAGTACGCGACCACTGGGGAGAACACGATCCCAGATTCAATCCTCGAATCATGCTTTTCTCGACGCCAATCGCCCCAACCCACCCTATTTCATATCAAAAATTACAGCAAATGTTCAGCCTAATTGAGCGAGCGATGTTCTGATTTAGCATGATTCTTCGTGCCGAATACGAACAACTTCCTTTCTTCTTCCGAGTTTCTGTTGAAGTGCTACCCCTGCTCACCTGCATTGAAGTGTTCGCCCTGGCGCTGTTTAGCATTGTCACGGTGCACTTCGACTTTGCCGGTAAGTCGTCTGCTATTTTCTCTTCTATAAAAAGAAAACAACAAGAAGGACGATTTACAGAGGTCAACAGATTCTGCAAAATCGTGTTTGTTATGGTTGCTGGCACGAGCATGGTGGTGACTACTGCAGTTCAATACTCTTTCAGTAAAAGCTCACATGAGGTTAGTGGATTTTCCAGTTCCCACTCGCATTCAGATGAAATTACAGTACTACTAGCAAACCGTAGCGGATTTTCAGAGATTGGATCAGATCTCAGCTATTTTAAAGATGATATCTGCCTGCGCGTTCTGCTACTTGGCACCACAGTACTTTCAGCACAACCATTCGGCCATCTCATTTCCCATTTGCTTCTCGTACGGTCAGTTTCCGTCTAATAAGGGCAAAACCTTTGGAGTTAAGATGATAGCTATCAGTGAACTGAGCTCTCTGATATATAGCTTTCAAACTTCTCCATGTTCAGTTGAAGTCTGAATCAAGGAATGGCTTTTTACATTTAGTTGAAATTGTGTATTTCAACCCCAACCCTTATCTAATCAAGGCTATTACCGATGGTTGTATGTCTACGATAAGCGAGTCTTCATCGTGTTTCGTGCTTGATAATTGTTCAGAAAAAAGTCAACGGTTCCTGCTCCGAAGCTATCAAGTCACCTCAACAAAAACCTTGCAAATGGTGTTGCCAGTCCTAGTTGTGGAACTGGTCCCTTGGATGACCATGAATGTCTGATATATGCAACAGATAAAGTGTGAAGGAGATTACACTTAATTAGAATAATCTATCTCAGTAAAAAACAAAAAGCGAAAGCCGAGATCGTCCCAAAATCGTTGAACAAGAGCCATAGTTCACGAGAAGCTTAGGAGAACGAAAAAAATGCGTTTGTTTCGGTGAATCTCCTTAAAACTTCTTTTTTTTCTCAAAAATTTTTCTCCTCCTAGGATTTTAAAAACTAGAAGATTTTTCTAGTTTTCAACGGAATTGCCGCCGTACATCTATCATAAATGTTCGTGGTGGGAACTTTCACTTGGCCTGCCGCCGGCAGGGTCAACCGTCACGTTGGACCGATTTCAAAATTTTTACGACCCCCCTCTTAGGAGAGTCTCCATACGACCCCCCCCCCGCATTCATTATGTACTGTACACTGCTAAGGAGAAAGCTAACGGGGGAAATAAGTGCAATCTAAAAAAATCTAAAGACACTTGGCTTGAATTCAAACACAGTTAGCAGACGAGCTCTAGTTTCCTGATATCCGGTAATTTACTAATGCACAACATCGCAAAACGAACTGCCTTCATTAGTTGCTAGACAGTACTGCCCTTTAGTTCGAATGGCGCTTTGCCTGCCTTTCATGAATGGGCGTTCAGAATCACAAAAAAATTCCATTTCGATATGCAATGCGCATATCAAACGAGTGCATGGCGCATCTCAGAGCATGAGAGTATACAGCAGAAGTGTCCGATTGGAGCACGGGAGCGTTGCGTTCGCATTGGCGCGCGCAATCTTCCCCTCGGCGCAGCGCGGGCAGCGAGAAACCGACTATTCACTTTCAAATAAACGTAATTTTGTTCAATATCAACATTTCTTAAATTGCTAAGTAGATTTGTAATCTACAAATACTGCTTGTTTCAGAAGGTAACCACGGTTATGCTTCATCTTCAAAACTGCGTCAGTTATGAGGTAGAAAACAGAGAATTCACAGAAATGCACTTCGTCCTTTAAAAGGTTGTAACTTTCTTCAAAGAAGGAATTATGAGGAGCGGTAAGAAAAATTGGAAAGCTCAGACTGTTTCTTTCTAAAAAGTGCTCAAGCTTTTGCAAAAACTCTTTCCTTCAAAAAATTGCCCCGTTGGACCGTTTTTTTCGCAAGACCAGGTTTTTTGGCTTCAATGGTTATAACTTTCTTCAAATTCCACCTTCTGCGATTCTTGTCCCCCTGGGTTGAAGAAGAAGGTTAGAGCTTTCTAAAATACTTGAACTCCTCTCAAAGTTGAAGGAGTCAAAAAATCGCCCCGTTGGACCGTTTTTTGGAAATCGCGGACCGATTTTTTGCAGAGCGCTGGTTTTTTGGCTTTAAATTGTTATAACTTTCTTCACATTGAACTTTTTGCAGTTCTTGTCCCCCTGGATTGGAGTAGAAGGTTAGGGCTTAGCAACGAATACTTTTTCTCTTCCCAAAGTTGAAGGAGTCAGAAAATCGCCCCGTTGGACCGTTTGTTTTTCCATGAATTTTCGGCGCTACTCTCCTGAAAACACAGGTTTCAACACTTAAACACTGACAACTCTCTTCAAACTCAATTTTATCGGGAATTATGATACCGTGACATCGCACGAGCTCTGTGCTTCATTACAGATGCTAAATCCATTTCAAGAATTTGCCGACAGGCAAATATTTTTGTTCCCAAACTTTTCTTGTAGCCCTTAGCAGTCAATCTACCAAAGAGGTCACTCTTTTATTAACTTAGGTCCAGTTTGAAGGCATTGGTTCACCTCTAGGATTATATTTGTGTACGTGCGCAGTCAAATATGGATACTTTCGCAGCAGACTTTTCTGCTCTGATGTGCGCCATGCACTCGTTTGTGCTTAATAAAACAATCACTCACAATATTAACCAAAAACTGCGTACGTACTATGCAAACGTTGATCCTGCGAATACGAACCCCCCCTCTAGCATCGGCCAAATTACGACCCCGTCGGACTTTGTCCACGACGGTGATCTCTCGGCGTGGCCGCATTAGAATATTTGAACTACAACAAATGGACAACGCCAGTTTCGCTGTAAGCTCGAGTTACATTCGACAAGTAGAACATAGATGTTCTGGAGCCGTCTTTCACCGGCAGTGCTCAGTCCTTTGAAGTTACAACGATCTTTATTTACTACTAGCACAAGTATCAAACTCAATCTTCTTGTTCCCTTGCTGTTGGCGTTCTAGGTCTTTCCTCAGGAATGGAACGGGTTACATGGTCGTGGACTGTAGGCAATTCGAAGACCATCTTCAATGATTCATTCCTTGATTTCTTGCTGAATTCATGCACTGCAACTGGACCACCTGGACACTGCTTATCGCCTGAAAAGGAGTGGCTGCAAGCTGAATCTAACGAAAAGTTCTTTTTTTGTAGAGGCGTCTCTTGAAAGTTTAAGCTTTTTTGGCACACAGAACGGAACTGATCTTTGAAAGACGTAAAAGTTCTGTGAAAATCCGGGACGGCATCGATAGATGTAGTTCTACGTTCGAGGGGATTGTGGGATGGTAAAATGGAGCGCCAATGTCAAAAAGCAGAGGAAATAAATCAACATGCAGAATGGAACCACCTCATTTGCCGTTCATTTCCAACCATGAAGCGGCGTTCAAGAAGAGAGGTCGTTATAACGTGTGACTCTGATAAGCGAGATCGTTCCAACAAACACGCTTCGACCGACAACGCATTACGCAGACAGACAGAAGATCCAGCAGCATGAAGTGAAATGCTCTCTCAACACGATAGTGAAAGATGATGCTACGAGCAATACATAGAGCTAGTCCAAATCACCAAATAAGCAAATATTTGAAGCACTTTTGGGGGCGTAATGGTTTTCAGTTTTGGAGGTTGCTGCGCTCCAAAAACACTGCTTACTTAGCCGCTTGGCTACTGGTTACAGTGGCGCAAATATTGGGTTATCCAGAGAATCCTGCGACACTTTGTCCAAGATTTTTGATTGTACCTTCTTTTGTTGAATGGGATATTCAATCAGCAAGGTTATCACCGGTAGCACGTAGGAGACGTGTACTTTTTCTGGGCAACTTCTCAACTCTCTTACTTTAGAAATCCGGCGTTTGCTTTGAAAAGAAGCGCTTCATCCAATTTTCGAGGTGACCTCAATCATTGGATTTTTTCTCTTCTAGGTAGCGCTTCGGTGCACTAATTACGTAATATTTAGAAACGACTAAGTCGGGCGAGTAAGCCAAGCACTGCAGAATTTCCCGATCAAAATCCACGATCTCTTGATATGTAATCCTTCGCCACATGCAGATATGGGTTAGGGTGGGGTAACACCATATCGAGAATTTCTGCGTGAACTTGACGCATGGCTTCGGCCAAATTTCGAAGGTTAGTTAAAGCCGACAATGGTCGTCACCCTGGTGCAGGTATCCAGCAGCTTTCTGTAGCGAATCAGTTTGCAACCTCATCAGAAACACTAAAAATTCTTGACGAAGGCCTGCTTTTGTTCCTGCGGGCAGCTTTCCTCCTTGTCGAATCCAGTAGTGCTTATGTGTATAGTTTAGTCAAGGCCAGAGCTATCTTCATTAGCCATCATTTTTGTCAAGAGATTCCTTTGATGCGAAAGAAGAAGAGAAATCTGAATCATGGTCACACGGTTCGCCTCCCCAGACTGGCGCAACCCATGTGGTGTCAATGGCGAACATACTGATCTGTAACCGAGATCGTGCAGATCCTCGACAATTGTCGAATGAATGCTTCTAAGCGTTGTTGTTAACCTACGACTGGTAGCAATCGGCTGCGCCTCTAGGAAGTTGAGTAAACGCTCGCCAGTCATTATCTACTGCCGTCCAGCTCCATATACCAT